AAAAAAAATGTATATTTATCAATCTTATTCATAACACTAACCTGGTAGACAGCAGTCAAGCAAATTTGAATGCCCTTTCAAAAAGCTTTACACCAAGTTTACATTCTCAAGGGACATGAAAAATAAGATTTAAATAACATACACAGCATAATTCAGGCATTATCACCAAATTGCAATATATGATAGGACTGTAAAATCTATTAGTAAAAGGAATTAAACATCAGATTAAGGTTGAACTACAGAGCCCATCAATATCCTTCAAAAACTTCCTCACAAAGAGAAAAGCAAGTTAAACCAAACAAAGCTAAGAAAGAAGGACAACATACAATTTCAGTTGGCTTGTTTTGGTTGTACTCTGACCTTTTTGATTCAACAACCTTTTCCAGGGTCTCCTGATCCCATTCCTCCATTGTTTCTATTGCATTTTTGGAAAATTAGAAGATCAGCATACAAACAAGAACAAAACAACAATGGCAAAAGAAAGTGTCTTGGAAGAAAGTGTCTTGGAAAGCATAGCGTCGCTCCTTACCAGTACTTTGCTGATCACGTTTGTCACTATAAATGTCGATCTTCTCACCCTTCCTTTGCACATTTAAATCATGAGAAAACTTGCACTTGAAACCTTTCGCACATTGTCCCGCCTTAAAGAACTCACATAGAATAGATTTGGGATCAACTCCTGTGCAGTGCCCATGGAGTTGAAACTTACCGTATAAATTTATAAACACTAACATGGAAGGTGACGAAATAAAAAATGGGTGAATATCGACAAACCAATAGGAACTTTAGGTTGGCTAACAGCGACCTTAAACAAATCATTCAGCTCCTTCTCTCTGGCCTTCTCATCTTCCAGTTTCTTCTGCTCGGGCACAATTTCAAGGGGAAAAAAAAACGATTGTTAGTTCAGACAATGGTCATCAATCTGCAGAAGTGCCTTGAAAACGTCGGAAAAGATAACCTTGGCGGCCGCTTTGGAAGGATCAGGCTTAGGTTGGACAGATTGCTGGAGGCTCTGCACGTATTTCTGAACATTTTTGCTTTTGTTCTTATTTTTAAGACCGAAGGTCTTGTCCTCTACAACCTTCTGCTTCTTGGCGAGTTCCGCCTTAGATTGTTGTTTCGGAGGCATGGGTGATCCGCATCAATAGAAACCCCTCGGGAGAAAGAATCAACAGCTTAGGAGTGAAGGAACCCCTCCTCCTCTTCCAGTAAATTCTCGAAGAACTCTGATTAGCTAAGCTTCGTGTATGATCGATTGAGATTTGAGAAGGGGGGCGAGGAAGATAGTGAATTGGCGACAAGCGAAGGTTTTTGAACGTCTGTTGTCCGGCTGGTTTGGTTCTGAAGCACTACGAAATCCAAGCAGGATTGGCGATATGGTTTTCCTCCTCCCGACGCACACGAAGCTCCGAGGGGACTTGGGATTTCGAGTCGGCAACTGGTTTTTCTCCAAAGCTTCTTATGGCTGTAGCTTTAAGATTCGGATTTTATTGATTTGTTTAATTGATTTTTT